GGGTGAATGCAGCCCTGAGAGGTTTATGGGGTCCTGGAAGGGTAAATGCAGCCATGAGGAGTTTATGGGGTCCTGAAAAAGTGAATGCAGCCCTGAGGAGTTTATGCGGTCCTGGAAGGGTAAATGCGGTCCTGAGGGGTTTATAGGGTCCTGGAAGGGTAGAGAGGGTCCTGAGAGGTAAATGGGGTCCTGGAAGGGTAAATGCAATTCTGAGGGGTTTATAGCTATGGTTCTGGAAGGGTAGAGAGGGTCCTGAGAGATAAATGAGGTCCTGACAGGGTGAGTGCGGTCCTGAGAGGTCTGTGGGGTCCTGGCAGGGTGAGTGCGGTCCTGAGTGGGTCCTGGCAGGGTGAGTGCGGTCCTGAGAGGTTTGTGGGGTCCTGGCAGGGTGAGTGCGGTCCTGAGAGGGTCCTGGCAGGGTGAGTGCGGTCCTGAGAGGGTCCTGGCAGGGTGAGTGCGGTCCTGAGTGGGTCCTGGCAGGGTGAGTGCGGTCCTGAGAGGGTCCTGGCAGGGTGAGTGCGGTCCTGAGTGGGTCCTGGCAGGGTGAGTGCGGTCCTGAGTGGGTCCTGGCAGGGTGAGTGCGGTCCTGAGAGGGTCCTGGCAGGGTGAGTGCCCCTCCGGCGCTGGCTGTCGGAGGAGTGGCAGCTCTCAGCTATGGGAGGAATGGCAGGAATTGCCGGCGCAGCTCGGGATCAGCGCATTTTTCCGCGCTGCCGTCAGGGCGGGCAGGTGGCACCGTGGGCTGGAGCTGCCCGGGAGCCGTGCCAGGGCCGCTGCCCGTCAGGCCGGGACAGGCCCGGCTTCCCGGCCGGTTTCACCCTCGTGACCGCGATCCCGGGGCCGCGTTTCGGTTGGGAAAGGCCGGGAAAGGTTTGGCTGAGCCGGGGGAAAAGGCGGCGATGGGGACGGGGGGGGATCCGCGCCTCCTCCATCCCGCCGGGGAATAAATCAATGAATAAATCAATAAATAAATGGATGAAAGGGCAGAGGCTGCTCGGAGCCAGCCCAGCTCCGTGATGGGAGAGGAGGAGGAGGCGTCTCCTCCAGCACGGAGCCGCTGCTGAGTCACGGCTCGGCAGAGCCAGCGCTGCTGTCACCGCTCTGTCACCGCTCTGTCACCGCTCTGTCACCCGCCGCTGCTGCGCGCGGCTGACTCAGGAGCTGCGCGGGTTTGCGCTGCTTTTTTTCCCAAGAAATCAGCCCAAATCGGGACTTTGTCAGCCTGCCGGGCACACGGAGGGGAGCGCTCGGGAGCAGAGCGGCGCCGTGGGACGCGGAGGGGCCGCTCCGGCCGTCACTCGGTGCTGCCGTGACGCGACACCGGGAGGGTGGCACAGCCTCGGCTCCCCGCCAGCCCTGGTGGGAATGTGAGCACAAAACCCGGGATTTGTGAGCTTGGAAATGTAGGGATGGAAGCCAGGAGAGATTTGGGGCTGTTCATGAGTCACACCGAGCTGCTGAGGATGTGGCTCTGAGCTTTTAGTCCAGAATATCCAAACCGGTTTAAAACACCAAATCCTGATCATTCCAGGGTTTTTTCCTGACTTCAGTGCTTTCCCTAAAGCAGGGGGATTTGTGCCCCAGCCAGACCCTCCCGAGCTGTGTTTGCGTCATTCCCAAACCTCTCACCTGCACTCCGGGATCCCGAATTTCCCAACCTCCCTCCCAGCCGTGTCCTTGCCCTTGGGCCACCCCGGATGATCCCTGCCTGCCCTCGCTCTTGCGTTCCCTGTATTTGTATGGATTTCCCGTGGTTTCAGTGCTGCTGGGAAACCTTTCTGTCAGTGTTCGCTGGGCTGGGATCCGCCAGATCCAGGAGGAGCAGCCCGGAGAGGGGCGCGGTGACTCCATCCCTGCTGGAAGAGCTCCAGGGCACAGCGTGAGGAACAGCGCCACCAGAGCCGTTCCCGAAAATCGCCTTGTCCCAAACGCTGCTGCCGGGAGCAGCCGGGAAGCGCTGCTGCAGAATTCAGGAAGATTTGTTTGTGCTGAGGAGGGCTGGGGGTGACTCAGGCCTGGTGCTGAGTCACGGAGCAGAGCCAGGCAAGGCAGGAGTCAGCGCTGGCCCGGCTCCAGCAGCAGCAGGAGGTGGGACCAGGCCAGGCTCCAGAGCTTTGCCCCCCTGGCAGAAGGAATTCTGCCTCTGTGGGGGTCATTTCTTCACTTCTGGAGGGTGTGCAGGAGACCCGGGTGTCCCTGCTGTCCTGTGCTTCCTGCAGATGTCACATCCCAGTCCTTTCCCAAACACTGATTTCCTTAAAAAATGGGCAAAGGGACAATGGAGCTGGATCCAAAACCAGGGCACTGCTGGATCCCAAACCAGGGCACTGCTGGATCCACATCTGGGCAGTGCTGGATCCAAAACCAGGGCAGTGCTGGATCCCAAACCAGGGCAGTGCTGGATCCCAAACCAGGGCAGTGCTGGATCCAAAACCAGGGCAGTGCTGGGTCCCAAACCAGGGCAGTGCTGGATCCAAAACCAGGACAGGGCTGGATCCAAACCTGGGCACTGTTGGATCCCAAACCAGGGCACTGCTGGATCCAAAACCATGACAGCGCTGTGGATCCAGCGGTGCCCTGGTGTGGATCCAGCACTGCCCAGGCTGTGGATCCAGCAGTGCCCTTGTTTTGGATCCAGCACTGCCCAGGCTTTGGATCCTCAGGATGCTGCAGGGACAGGGATGGGGGTGGGAACAGCTCCCAGAAGTTCTCTGAACTCTCCCTGGGCTGATTCATCGGCCTCACTCCGTAAACAGGAAGCTGAGAAAGTACAGGCAGGTGATCCTGTGCTGCTGCAAACACTTGGAAACACAAATTCCTTGCATTTTTTTCCCCCAGCTGCCTGCTAACTCCTGTCCAGGTGAACGTTGTTCTGGCAGTTCTGCAGCAGGAAGGGCTCTGGAGGTCATGGCACGGGTTTAGAAGGAGCTGGACTTTGGCACGGAGCTTTTCCCTGCTCCTAATCCAATTGCAGAGCCTGAGATTGGGAGGGATTCAGATCCCCCTGTGGGACAGCACCGACTGCACTTCTCTCTGCTCTTGGGAGGGGAAAAGGCCCTGCTGGGAAGAAGGAAACTGGGATTCACTGGGATGCTGGGGAGCTGCAGCTGGGCTGTTTTGGAGCGCCTCAAACCGGAGCAGGAGCTCCTTCCCCAGGGAACAGCCTCCTTCCTCCTCCCGTTTTCCACAGAACCGGACCTGATTTCACCCTGGCAGCTTCCCCGTGCTGGCCTGACTTAACTTCCAGGACGGGAGAGGCGGAGATTCCCAAACAGCCTCGATAATTCAGGGAATCCTCCCTCCCTCGGGGAGCCGGGAACGCGGGGCTGCAGCGCCGCTCACTCCCCCCCCTCCCTGCTCCATTCCCGAGTGCTGCTCAGGGATTGAGGAGCTGAGAACGCTGCCAAGCAAAATAATCCCTGAGAGTGCCCTTGTGGTCTGGAATAAACTCCCCAAACGTCTAAACACAGGCGAGACAGCGAGGATTTGGGATGGGACGGGCGCTCCCACCCCCGATCCCGCCGGGAACGCTCGGCTTTGAAGCTGCCAGGCTCGGGGAGAAGGTTGGAGGAGCCTCTAATTAAGGCTGGAAGGGCTGCAGTGGGCGGCTGGCGGGGCCAGGAGCGCCGGCGGGATCCGAGGCCGTGTTTGCTTTGGCTGCTTCCCCTCCTGGAATCGGCTCCGGCTCCGGTGGGCGGTGGGAGCTGCCCCCCGTGCCCTGGGAGCTGAGTCAGCGGCGGGAGGTGGCGGCTGTGACACCTCCACAGGGGTGGCACGAAGGGGACAGGCCCGGGGTGGTGTCTGGCCAAGGGGTTCGGTGTGGCTGGAGCTGCCCCCGGGACAGGGGGGCATTGTTTGGGTCTTGTGGAAAAAATCCACACAGTTCCTGCTGTGGAACCAGGAGGAAGGGGGTTCAGGCGTTGTGGGGGTGTAGGGACACAGCCCCATGGGCAGGTGGGATGTGAATCTCATGGGCAGGTTGGACACAAATCCTGTGCGAGGGTTGGACATGAATCTCATGGGCAGGTTGGACACAAATCCCATGGGCAGGTTGGGCACAAATCCTATGGGCAGGTTGAATACAAATCCTATGGGAAGGTTGGACATGAATCTCATGGACAGGTTGGACACAAATCCCATGGACAGGGGGGATGTAAATCCCATGGGAAGGCTGGACACAAATCCCATGGGCAGGTGGGACACAAATCCCATGGGAAGATTGAACATGAATCCCATGGGCAGGTTGGACACAAATCCCATGGGAAGGTTGGACATAAATCCTATAGGAAAGTTGGACACAAATCCCATGGAAAGGTGGGACACAAATCCCATGGGCAGGTGGGACACAAATCCTATAGGAAAGTTGGACACAAATCCCATGGGAAGGTTGGACACAAATCCCATGGGAAGGTGGGACACAAATCCCATGGGAAGGTGGGACACAAATCCCATGGGAAGGTTGGACACAAATCCCATGGGCAGGTTGGACACAAATCCCATGGGAAGGTGGGACACAAATCCCATGGGAAGTTCAGATACGGTCCCATGGACACGCCCCCATGTGCAGGTTGGACGTGACCCACGTGCAGGTGTCACCTGCCCAGGTGCCAGGGACACCAAAGCCACCAGGGCTGCTCCAGGAGCCCCCCAGAGCCCCCCTTGGTGCCCAGCCCGGGGCTGTGCTGGGGCAGAGCTTCCCTCCCACAGAACCAGGAGGATTTTTCCGTCTGCTCAGCAGAGCTTTTAACAGAACTCCCTGGAAAGGGGATCCTGAGGGCTCCTTCAGGGAAAGGGGAACTTGAAACAACGTCAGGAAGCATCAGCGGGGCCACCAGAGCTCCCTTTGTGCATGGGATCAGTCCCGAGGTGGCCGTGGGTGTAGGATGGGATGGGATGAACTTTAACCTCCCTTGCCACCCCTCCATGATCCTGGGATGGAGCACGAAGCCAGGGCAGCTCCTCACCCTGCTCCAGCCCCTCTGTGCCCGTGTTCCCTGCAGGATTCTGCTGTGCTGGGGCCCGGAGCCGATGGCAGAGAATGTCCACGACTAACAACATAGCTCAGGCCCGGAAGCTCGTGGAGCAGCTCCGCATCGAGGCCGGGATCGAGAGGATCAAGGTGAGGATGGGAGTGGGAACTGTGCTCTTTGTTGTAGGATCGTGCTCTTTGTTATAGGAACGTGCTCTTTGTTATAGGATCGTGCTCTTTGTTATAGGATTGTGCTCTTTGTTATAGGAACCTGCTCTTTGTTATAGGATTGTGCTCTTTGTTATAGGAACCTGCTCTTTGTTATAGGATTGTGCTCTTTGTCTTTGTTGACAAAGTGACAAAATGATTCTTTGTCCCCTTAGAAAGGAAATAAGCTAAAAGTTTCTCTCCTTAATGAGGTGAAAAGGCATCTCCTAGGATTTGGAGGACTTCACCTCATTAAGGATAGCTAATTGGACAGGAGTTAAAGAGTCTGGCTTGGGCAATTTGCTAGAAAAAGAAGAGAACAAAGAAACCAATGGCTTTTGTGAAGTGGTTTTGTGAAGAGGGCTTCTTGCACCTAGATTAGTATTTCTCTCTAAAGAATTTGTTATTTTGCCTTTTATTAAAACCTCTTTGTTTCCAACACTGCCACTAAAGCCATCTTGCTGATTTTAAGCCTTCTAAGGTAGCTGAGCTATCTTGGGTGTGAAATGATCTCCAGGAGCTTATGAGACCTGGCTCAAAAAGACTCCTAATTCCAAAGGGAGTGGGAAGAGATCCTGGGTTTCCCCCAGCATTCCAGGATTCCCTCCAAGGAAGCCAGAGAGGGTCCCTCCACCGGGATTTGGTGTCAAGGACAAATGGGTTCGGATGGAAAGAGGGGAATTTTAGGGTTGGTGGACAGAAGGGATTCTCTCCATGGCACAGAGCAGCTCTGGCTGCCCCTGGATCCCTGGACGTGCCCAAGGCCAGGCTGGGTGAGGCCTGGAGGGAAAGAGGAACCTCCAGATGTGGCTCCATCTCTGCCCTGTGTCATTAAGGAAATTGAAATTAAACAAAAAAAGGGAAAATCTCCTGAGCCTCCAGCAGCTCCCTGGGGATCTGGAGCCTCCTCGGATCCCTCCAAGCTCTCCCTTCCCAAAAAACAGCTTGGAACTAAACCAAGCAGTGCCTTAAACAATGGATCCTAAAGTTTTCCAAACCTTAACAAGAGGCTGCACTCAGGGAATCTTTTCCTTCACTTTTTCATCCCAAATCCCTGAAAAACACAGCTACAATAATATCCCTTTGAAATCCTTAAGGGAAAAGCTGGATGTAAATCCCCAAAAATCCTGCAAGCACTGGTGACTCTGAGCTGAGAATATTCCCATAAATTCCTGATTTTTTGCTCCAATATCCAGGTCTTTAAAGCTCATCCCAAATCCCTGAAAAACACAGATGGAATATTCCATTTAAATCTCCCAGCTGGGGCATTTCCCCACACTCCTCACTGTTCGCTCTGATTTTCCCCCTCCAAAATTCCCATTTTTCTCCTCATCTCCCCGAAATTTCTGTTGGGAAAAGCTGGATGTCAAACCCCCAAAAATCCTGGAAGTGCTGGTGACTCTGAGATGGGATTATCCCCCAAATTCCTGCAATTATCCCCCCAATTCCTGCTTTTGTTTTGTTTTGTTTTTATCCCCAAAATCCAGGTCTCCAAAGCATCCTCGGAGCTGATGAATTACTGTGAGCAGCATGCTCGGAATGATCCTCTCCTGGTGGGAGTTCCTGCTTCTGAGAATCCCTTTAAGGACAAAAAGCCCTGTATCATCCTATAGCTGTGGATCCTTCTGGAAGGAAATCCCCATCCAGCCTCTGGATCCAGGCTCCTCCACAGCTCCACCTGCACCCAGGGGTAAAAACTCAACGCTGGCTTCAAACAGAACTTAACAATTCCTGAGAAAAACAAACAAACAAACAAAAAATCCAAGAAAAACAAACAAACAAACAAACAAAAACCCAGCGAAAAACAAAAATACCCAAAAAAAACCACCCAAAAAAAAGTAAATTTGGAAGTGGGGTTTTTAGGGAAGGGGTGGCTGCTTCCTGGGAAGGAAAGTGGGATTAAGAATTGGAATCAGGATTTTAAAATTTACCCAGGGTTGAGGGAGGAAAGGAAGGTGGTGGGGGGGATTTTTTATTGGGATATTTGGATTTGGGAAAGGGGTGGTGGTGGAGGAGGAGGAGGTGGGGGGGTCATTCCCAGTGGGATGTGAGAGCTGGACCTGGATCCAATCAGAGCCCAATCAGCAGGAATTTCTTCTGGAGAAGGGGTGAGGTGGGAACCATTTTGTATAAAATCAGTACAAAAAGAAAAAAAAAAAACAAACCCCAAAAAAACCCAAATTCCCCAAATCCAGCTGGAAAAATCCCTGCTGGGAATGGCCACAGGGAGGCTGGGGAGGCTTTTCCCTGCATCCCACAGCTCTGCTGGGATCCAGGGATGGCCCTGCTGCAAGGGAATTCCCAGCTGGGAGAGATCCCAGGAGGAATTTTAGGGAGCCCCAGGGATGGGGGAGTCGGGATCTTTGGGGGGTCCCTGTGCTGTCCCCAAATTCAGGGAGGGAGGGAGGGAAGGGAAGGAGCTTCCTGGTGCATCCAGAATCTTGGAAAAATCAACTTTTGGGGGAGTTTCAACCCGGATCAGCAAATTCCCAGCGTTTCCCATCTCCCTTTTCCACACTGGAATTCTTCCCACTAAATCCAGGGCCTGGGAATTGTCCAGGGAAGTTTGGGGCAGCTGGGGAGGGGGAGTGGAAGGATCAGTTCTGTTCCCATCCCTTGGGAATCTGGGATGGAACTGGGAGCGCTTGGATCTCACGGGGATGAGCCAGCATGGAGGGGAGAGCAGGGAAAGGGGAGCAGGAAAAGGGGAGCAGGAAAAGGGGAACAGGAAAAGGGGAGCAGGGAAAGGGGATCTGGAAAAGGGGAGCAGGAAAAGGGGAGCAGGGAAAGGGGATCTGGAAAAGGGGATCTGGAAAAGGGGAGCAGGAAAAGGGGAGCAGGGAAAGGGGAACAGGAAAAGGGGAGCAGGGAAAGGGGATCTGGAAAAGGGGAGCAGGAAAAGGGGAGCAGGGAAAGGGGATCTGGAAAAGGGGATCTGGAAAAGGGGAGCAGGAAAAGGGGAGCAGGAGGAGCTTCCACGGAGCCCTTGGGTGGATGCTCAGGAGAGCTCCAGGAATTCCGTGGAGTGGCCACCGGATCTGTGGGAAAGGGACAAATCCCAGGATTTGGGGGCAGTGTCTGAGCCCAGTCCATGTCCCCAGGGCCCATCCTGGGGCTCAGCAGCTCCTGGGAGACATTCCCAGAATCCCAGAATCCATGAGGCTGGAAAAGATTTCCCAAAACCATTATAGGCAGAAGCCATTCCCAGTTATCCTGAGCCAGGATTCCCAGGTTTTTTGGGAAGAGAAGGGGTAAAAACAACCCAGCCACAGCTGATGTGAAATCCTAGGAGTTTCCCCATTCCCCCACAAAGCTTTGGATCGGGTTAGGAATGCCAGGGATGGGGTTAGGAATGCCAGGGATCCCAGCACGGGACAGGGAGCAATTCCCATGGGAAAGGAGTTTGCAGTTCCCTGGATTCCCGCTGGTGCTGCCGGGCACCGGGAGCTGCTCCAGCCCTTTTCCAGAGGCCGATGGAATTCCCAGGGGGCCGGGCCGGGCGGGGCCGCTCCGTGTCCCCTCCCCGGCTGCAGGAATGTCGCTGTTCCTTGTTTTCCCTCATTTGCCTTTGCAGCAAAGCCGGGGAAATGCCACGTTTTGAACCCTAAAGCTGTGCGGCTTTTCCTGGGAATGCTCCCCGCCGTGTCCCGGAATTCCAGGGCTCGGGAGTGTCCCCCCATGCCTTGGGGGGGAGCAGAGCAGGGAAAACGGGATCATTTCCCAGTAATTTCCCTCCCTGTCCTTTAGCCCCAGCAAAGCCTTTTCTGGAGGGTTTGATCCCAAATCCCAAAGCCCATCCCGCTCCAAGCTCCGCCCGCCGGGAATCCCGCGGCCACTCCCGAGTCCAGCCCGGGATTCCTCCTCCAGGAGGGAATTCCCTCTTGTCCTTAATCTCTCGGACAGTTCCAGCCTTATTTTTCTACTCCAGATCTGATTCTTCCTCTGTGTTCGAGACCAGAGCTTGGTGCTATCCTTGGAGCCGGGGCTGGAGCCGGGAATTCTTCCTCCTCCTCCTTCTCCTCCTCCTCCTCCTCCTCCTCAGGGGCTCCAACCCCCCCATCCCGGGAGAATCCTGTGGGATGGGAATCCCAAGGGATGCTGGGTCAGACTTTGGGGTCTGGGTGCTTTGGGGTCGCTCTGCCTTCCCCCATCCCGGGGTCCTGCCCGAGCCAAAGCCACGCTGGAGCCGGGAAATGGGAAATGGGAAATGGGAGATGGGAAATGGGAAATGGGAGATGGGAGATGGGAAATGGGAAAAGGGAAATGGGAGATGGGAAATGGGAAATGGGAGATGGGAAATGGGAAATGGGAAAAGGGAAATGGGAGATAGGAAAAGGGAAATGGGAGATGGGAGATGGGAAATGGGAAAAGGGAAATGGGAGATAGGAAAAGGGAAATGGGAAATGGGAGACAGGAAAAGGGAAATGGGAGATGGGAAAAAGGAAAAGGGAAAAAGCAAAAGGGAAAAGGGAAACGGGAGATGGGAAAAGGGAGAACGGATGGGAGAAGGGAAAAGAAGCCAGGAAAAGGAGCAAGGAGCAGGGAAAAGGGGTTGGGAAAAGGGAAAAGAGGTTGGGAGAAGGGAAAAGGGTTTGGGAGAAGGGAAAAGAAGCCAGGAAAAGGGACAAGGAGCTGGGGGAAAAAGGAACAAGGAGCAGGGAAAAGGGGTTGGGAAAAGGGAAAAGAGGTTGGGAGAAGGGAAAAGGAGCTGGGAGAAGGAGTCGGGAAAAGGGAAAGTAACTGGGAAAAGTGAAAAGGACACAGGAGAAGGAGCAGAGGCAGGGAGAAGGGAAAAGGGGTTGGGAAAAGGGAAAAGGAGCCAGGAAAAAGGGGCAGGGAGAAGGGGAAAGGGGCAGGGAGCCAGGAGAAAGGCCATGGAGCATCTCCCATGGGATCCCTGAATGCCAAGGGTCCCACCAGGAGCTGGGGGTGGGAGCTGCTGGCAGGTGCTGGTGTCTCCATGGATGACTCATTTTTGTTGGGAAAAAAATTCCTTAATTTTTAATTTTTTTTTTTTTCCCCCACCTTTTTTTTTCCCTTTTTTTTTTCTTTTTTTTTCCCCAGAATTTTCTCCTTGTCCGAGTAAATCCGTGCTCACGCCATGGGTGTTTTTGTATGGCAGAAATAGAAGTGCAGATTCCCAGTAGTTGCTTGTACTTTGTTCAGTGCATTTGCCAAATCAATTTATTTAAAAAAAAAAAATTAAAAGAAAAAAAAAAAGGAAAAAGGAGGAAAGAACCACACACACACACAAAAAAAAAAAAAAAAGGGGGAAAAAGGAGGGGGGAAAAAAACACACAAAAAAAAGACTTTTCAGAACTTTTTAAGTGCTGGAAGGGGGAGCAGGAGGAGCTGGAGCCCAGCTCCACAAAAGCCTTTTTTTTTGGGATTTAACCACATGCCCAGATCTGTCCGGCCTTTCTTTATGGGATGTGGTGAAGCCAGTGCCAAAAATAGAAATCTGGGAATAAAAGGGCCAGGGAAACATTGCTCCTGTTCCAGTTTTCCTCCCTTTGCCTCACCCTCCCCTCCCTGTCCCGGGGGATGGAGCCAGGACACCCCGGAGCCTCTGGATCTCCCAAATGCCCCTTTTTATTTCCCCCCCTAAAATCCTTAAAAATCCACCTTTATTTAACAAAATCCCAATAATTCCTTTACTCCGAGCCCACGTGGGATCCTTGGCTCTCCTCGTTTTCTCCTTCTCTCTGGTCTATCATTCAAAAGATCATTAATTATTATTATTATTATTATTAATATTATTATTATTATTTGCCAAACTCTGATCTCGTTGCCAAACGCCAATCCAGGTTTTTTCCGGACTGTCCTTAGGAAGTGGTCGGTGTCTGTGCCGTAGGCTCCTCATCCGTCTGCAATTCCCGGGTTTTTTTTGGGTTTGTTTTGTTGATTTTGCCCTTTCTCGTGTGCCATAGCCCTGACCCCCCCCCTGCCCTCGCACCGTGTTTAATATTTGTGGAATCGTTGTTCCCAAGTGAATGGATAACACAATAAAAAAGGCTCACTTTGCATTTTGCCAATCTCCTCTGCCTGCCTGTGCTGAGCCGGCAATTCCAGATCCTCCCTCGGGAATTCCCTGTGCCCTTTTCCACCCTTGGGGATCCCCTCTCCCACCCCCTGGAGCTGCCATCAGGATTGGGAACATCGATTCCCAGGAATTGCAACTTCTCAAGGGTCTCAGCTCCTCAAAATTCCACCCTTGGGAATCCCCCAACTCTCAGGGATTCACCTTTTCCATGTCCTGGATGCTCAGCTGGGATTGGGAATGTTGATTCCAAGGAATTGCAGCCCCTCAAGGGTCTCAGCTCCTCAGAAATCCCAAATCCTTGGGAATCCTTCCTCTCCCTGGGATTTCCCTTTCCCACCTCCTGGAGCTCCCATCGGGATTGGGAATGCCAATTCCCAGGAGTTGCAGCCCCCCAAGGGTCTCAGCTCCTCAAAATTCCACCCTTGGGAATCCCCCAACTCTCAGGGATTCACCTTTTCCACCTCCTGGATGCTCAGCTGGGATCAGGAATGTTGATTCCAAGGAATTGCAGCCCCTCAAGGATCTCGGCTCCTCAGAAATCCCAAATCCTTGGGAATCCTTCCTCTCCCTGGGATTTCCCTTTCCCACCCCCTGGAGCTCCCATCAGGATTGGGAATGCCCATTCCCAGGAATTGCAACTTCTCAAGGGTCTCAGCTCCTCAAAATTCCACCCTTGGGAATCCCTCCACTCTTGGATATTCCCCTTTTCCACCTCCTGGATGCTCAGCTGGGATTGGGAACATCGATTCCCAGGGATTGCAGCCCCTCAAGGATCTCAGCTCAGAAATCCACGTTGGGAATCCCCCAACTCTCCGGGATTCCCTTTTCCCACCCCCTGGAGCTCCTGTGGGCACCGGGAATGCCAATTCCCAGGAATTGTGGCCCTTCAAGGATCTCAGCTCCTCAGAATTCCCCCCTTGGGAATCCCGCAGCTCTCAGGGATTCCCTTTTCCCACCCCTGTTCTCCCCATCCCTGGTGGCTCCTCCACGGGAGCTCTTGGGAATCTCCATTTTCCCGGAATCTCCGGAGCCATCCCATCCCATCCTATGGGGAAAACCAAACCCAGCGCTGCATTCCTTCCCTTTTTTTTTTTCCGGGAAAAGCGATCCCGGCCCGGCTGGAAGCTCAGCGGGATCCAGGCCGGGAGCGAGTCCTTGGAATGCGCCGCTCCCGCTGCAGCCGCGGGCCGGGAATTGTTGGGATTTTTTCAGCGGCCGCTCCAAAAACGCCGCTGGGAAGGGCGGGATGGACAGGGGGACAAGCAGTGGGATGGCAGCAGGTCCCGTGTCACTGTCCCCCAGCCAGGTCCCTGCCACGGAATCCCGAATTCCCCCCGATTCCCTTCCAAGCCCCGGGACACCGGGAGCGGCTCCTGCGCTGGGAATTCGCTGCCAAGCGCCGGAGGTGGCAGCGGGTGGCGGTGCCAGCGCCAAAGCGACACCGGCCGGGTGGCACCGGGCTGGGAGCGGCTAAAAATAACCCTCCCTCCTCCGCCGGGCTATTTTTAGCCTGGCTGCCGCTCTAATTAACTCCCTGCCGCCCTAATTAACTCCTTACCCCCGGAGCCGCGGCCACCGGGACGGCAGCAGGGGTGGCCCAGGGACAGCCGCGGGTGCCCTCGGTGCCACCGGAGCGGGGACAGCGCGGGGACCCCCTCGGGGTCATCCCCGGCCCGCAGGGACTCCGTGGAGGATCGCACCGTGTCCCCACGCGGGGGACACGGGGACACCCGTGACGCAATGGTGCCACCACGGTGACATCACGGACGCACTTCCCGCTCCGGGCGTCACCGGCGGGGGCGGGGAGGCAGCTCCGTGCCTCAGTTTCCCCCAGTTTGCAGAGGTTGGGGGTATCGGGGTGAACCGAGCTGCCCCGGGGGGGTTTGGGGTGGGCGGTGCCCCCCCGGTTTTTTGTCCCCGATGTCGCTGCCAGGGTGGAGACGGAGCCCGGGGCCAGGAGCCGCCGGAGCCACCCAGGCCAGACTCATAAATCAGCGGCTCCGGCGCGGCTCCGGCCCTGCCCTGTCTGGCTGCGGCCGCCCCAGAGCCAGGAAGGGGCTCGGTGCCCCCCCCGAGCCCAAACCACCCCCGTGTCACCCCCACCCCCCTGGCGGTGACACAGCGGCTGCGGTGCCACCCCCGCGGGCACTCTGGGGGTGACATCTGCACCCCCCGTGTCACCGGCACCCCCCAAAAACCAACCCCCCCCCCGTGTCAGCTTTTGGGGGGTGCCCAACACCCATCCCGCACCCCCAGGGCTGGCTGCGACCTCCTAATTAATTATTAATTCGCTAATTATCGCTCGGGGTTTAATTACCCCGCGCTGTCGATGCGGGTGGTCCCGGTGGCTGGGTGGGCTCCGGGGGTGTCCTGAGGATTTTGGGGGGTCTGGGGGGGTCTCTCACCGCTCCCACCCCCGTGACACGGCCTGACACACCGGTCACACGAGTGGCACAGCCGCGGTGACAGCGGCGACAGGAATGGCCTCGTGACCCCGCCGCCTCATCAGTGAAACGAGTTTGGGCGGCCTCCGCCGCCCTCGGGCCCTTTCCCTTCGGGATTTTCCCAGGGAACAGCGCGACCCCATCGCCCACCCCGAGCTGAGACCCCCACAGCTGGGGGACCTGGCGGGGGGGATGTCGCAGTTTGGGCCACCCAGAGGGTGTTGTCACCACCTTGTCCCTTGTCCCCGCCGTGTCCTGGCGCTGCCGGGGCTGTCACACGCCGCGCTCGCTCCGTGCCTCAGTTTCCCCCGCCATCAAAACCCCAAAGGAGGGCACAGGGCACGTCCTCAGGCCACGCGACACTCTGGGACGGCCACCGTGTCCCCAAGCCGGGGCTGGCCGGTCGCTGTGTCCCTGCCCGGCCGAACGCCGTGTCCCAGCCGGGCAGGATCTGCCTGGCTCCGGGCCGGGGCTGGCACCGCTCCCGGCCCGCCGGGGCCAGCCCGGGTGACACCGCGCGTGTGACAGGGACAGGGCGAGCTCAGGTGAGCTCCTGCTCCGGGGTGCACCGGAGCGGGGTCGGGGAAGGATCCCGGGGGTCCCCACTGCCCACAAAGGGGGGACCCCACCCCTGACCCCAGCGGCCTCGCTTTCCCCGGAGCCCTCGGGGTTGTCCTTGTCCCCACCCCCGGGGGACAGAGGGAATTCCCCCCCCGAGATGGGGGCGTGGGGGCTCCCCCCAGCCCCGCGGGCAGCCCCCGGCCCGGTTCCCACGGCAGCCGCGGTTTCTGCGCGGGTGGAGGAAGCTCCAGCCCTGAGGGGGCCGTGCCTCAGTTTCCCACAGAGCTCAGGGCACCCCGTGCGTGTTTTTCTTGGAAAAACCCTTTTTCAGAGCAGGGTGGGGTGGGAATTTCTCCTCCAGCAGCAGCAGCGAGGCCACACACGGGTGGGAACCCCCCGGCCCTGTGAAAGGCCCCCCCAGTGTGCAGAGCCCTCCCAGGGGAGGTGGAGCCCACCCCAAAACCCACCCAGGAAGCGCCGATCCCGCTCCCCGCTCCCTTGGGAACGGCTCCAGCAGAGCACAGGGAAGAGCAAACACCAGTAAACGTCAGACATTTTATTGCAAATAAATTTAATTCCTGCTCGGTAGAAGAATAAACTCTGGAAAAGGTTCAGCTCAGGGTCTCCAAGTGCAAAAGCAGCACCCGGAGGGTGCAGGTCCATCCGTGCAGATGTCCATAATTCCTTAGGAAAAAGCAGTTTTTGCACAAAAAAAAAAAAAAAAAAAAATTAAAAATTAAAAATCAAAAATCCAGCTTTCTGCAGTCCTCGCCTCCTTCGGGTCCCAGCTGCCAAAAATCGCGACAGTTTCCAGCTCCGGGGTCACCCCCGCGCTCCGCAGCGCCCGCCCGGGGCTGCCCAGCTCCAGCACGACTCCTCGGCCGGCGGCTCCGGCCAGTGTCCAGTGTCCACCCGGCTCCGGCCAGTGTCCAGTGTCCATCCGGCTCCGGCCAGTGTCCACCCGGCTCCGGCCAGTGTCCACCCGGCTCCGGCCAGTGTCCAGTGTCCATCCGGCTCCGGCCAGTGTCCAGTGTCCACCCGGCTCCGGCCAGTGTCCACCCGGCTCCGGCCAGTGTCCAGTGTCCCCCGCCGGGCTCGGCCCGGCTCCCTCCATTCCCACCGCAGCCGCCGCGCTCTCCCTTCCTCCTCTCCGGTTCAAAAGAAAAATAAAATCGGTGGGTTTTGGGGCGTTGTGGGTTGGAACTGGCTGTTTCTCCTTCTTTTTTTGTTTTTTTCCTGCTGTTTAGGTTTTTTATTAAGGGTTTTTATCCTTCAAGTCCAGGCCGGGAAGGGGCCGGGAAGGGCTCAGCGCTCCTGCAGACACACGAACGGCACCCACTGGTTCCTGTCGCGACTCTCGGCGCAGTAACTCGCCACCTCCGCCAGCCCCTGGCTCTTCCAGGCGTCCGTGTGCGGGTTCTGCGGGAGCAGGAGCACGAGGTTAATGCCACCAGCGCCCCGACACGTGTCCCCGAGCCGCCCCGTCACCCTCCCCGGCCCCTGGCGGTGTCACGGGGCCACCGGGCGCGTCACCTCCGTGCTCACCGTGACGAGCAGGCAGTGCAGGTCGCGGGGCTCGGAGTCCGCCTCGGGCTCGCCCAGGATGGCAGCGAGGCGCTGCATGCCCGACACGCGCAGGATGTGGATGTCGTTGTCGCAGCAGAACGCCTGGATGAGCGTGAAGTGGATCTGCAGGGCGATGTCGCCTTCGTCCTCCTCGTCGGTGGCCAGCACACACAGCACCACGCTGTCCGGGTCCCTGCGGGGGCGAGGCGGGTTAGGGGCGACCGGGACAGCTCGGGATGGTGGAACTCCCTCCCGCGGAGCTGTCACCTCCCTGTCGCGATATAAATCGGCGACTGACCCCCCAAATTCCGCCTGGTCACCACCACCCCGTGAAACGCTCCAGCCCTGCGCTAAGCGGGCCGGGATGAACCCCGCCACGCGAGCCAGACCCCCCCCGACAGAGCCCCCGACAAAGCCATATCGCGATACTCACACATTCATCAGCTTGGCCGACTCGTAGACCCCCACGGTGAGGCGGTCCTGCCGCTGCGCCGCCACCAGCACCCGCTCCACCGCCTCGCTCACCGCCTGCATCCTGTCGGGAGGAACGGCAAAGCCGGTGAGCGGCGACAGCGACAAACACAGAGCCCCCGCCGAACGCCCCGAGCCGCCCGCCACTTACTTGCTGCTATCGCAAGGCACCAGCTCCTCCAGGGTCATGGTGCAATCGTAATCCGCAGAAGAAGAAGGCAAACTCCAAGAGCAATAATCCCGAGAGCGGCTATAGCGGGTATATCGCGGAGGTATCGCGGCGCTATCGCGATCCCCGGTCCCGCTCCGCTCCTGCCGCCGCTCCAGCGCGATCGCTCTGAGCCCCAGCCGCGCCCTGCGCTTCATTTTATAGCCTTACTTCAAGGGGCGGGGCCTCGCGCGGCGCCCCCGCCTCGTCCATTGGCTGGCGCCACGCGGAGCCGCCCACGGGAACGGCGCTGATTGGGCGCCGCCGGTGGGACCCACGTGGGGGTGAAACGCGGGGGGGGAAGAGCGCGGGGGAAACCCCCGCCCTGAAACTGCGCCCCCCCCGCGGGCACGGGCGTGGGACCGGCGGGACCGGGGAGAAACCGGGGGGAACCGGGGGGGACCGGGCTCGGGGTCGGTCTGGGGGACCGGGACCCGCTCCGGGGGTCGCTCCGTGCACCGGGGGCTGCACCGGGGGTCGCTCCTCGCACCGGGGGCTGCACTGGGGATCGGTCGGTGGCACAGGGGGCTGCACAGGAGGGTCGCTCCGTGCACCGGGGGCTGCACCGGGGGTCGCTCCGAGGGTCAGCCGGTGCACCGGGGGTCGGTCGGTTGGACGGGGGCTGGCTGCACAGGGGGGTCGCTCCGTGCACCGGGGGTCGGTCCGGGGTTCGTTTCTTGCACTAGGGATTGCACAGGGGGTCGCTCCGTGCACCGGAGGGTGATCTCTGGGACCGGGGGCTGCACCGGGGGTCGCTCCGTGCACCGGGGGTCGGTCCGGGGGTCGCTCCGTGCACCGGGGGTTGCTCCGGGGATCTGTCTGTGGGACAGGGGGCTGCACAGGGGGGTCGGTCCCTGGGACTGCTCCGAGGGTCGGTTCTTGCACCGGCGGTCTCTCCAGGGGTCGATCGGTGCACGGGTCGGCCCCTGACACCGGGGGCTTTTGCAGGGGCCGGTTCGTGCACAGGGGTCTGCACGGCGGGGGTCGGTCCGTGCACCGGCGGCTGCACCGGGCGTCTGTCGGTGGAGCGGGGGCTGCACCGGGGGGGCGGCAATTCACGCACCGGGCCGCGGGGGCGATCGGTCCGTGCACCGGGACCTGCAGGCGGGGGCGGGAGGGGTCGGTGCGCTCAGAGCCGGGGGAACCCGGGACACGCGGGGAGCTCCGAGCCGCGCGGGCGGCGGCCGCCACCTGCCGGGGACACACCGGGGACGCGCTGCCGCTGTCCCGGGGCTTGGGCACACCGAGCTCGCCTCACTTTGGCCCCAGATCCCGCAGCTGCAGGGCCGGACCGGTCCGTGAACCCCCGGCGGGTCGCGGGAGGCGCCCACGCCGTGCCTCAGTTTCCCTCAGCCGCGTCCTGAGCCGTATTTCCCAAGCATCCCCCTGCCCACGGCGGTGCTACCGCTCCGTGCGCGTCGCCTCTGTTCCCTGTCCCCTCCCGGTGCCCCCCGTGCCACCCCGTGCCCCCCGTGTCCCATCGCAGCCGTGGCCGCGCTCCCGCTCCGCCTCCTCCGAGCCGCCAGGCGGCGCTGTCGCTGTCCTCTCTGTGGCCTCGCCGCAAAGCTTTCTGGGAAGTGTAGGCCTGCAGCGCCCCGCCTTTCCGGCGTCGTTAAACGGAGACTACATTACCCAGAAGGCTTTGCGATAATGAGTGGGCGGGGTCGCAGGGTGTGGGCGGGGCGCGGTGCCGCCAAACCGGGACCGGGTCCGGGACCGGGAGCTGGGCTGGAATGGGGTCGAGGGCTGGGAGTCACCAAACCGGCACCGACCTGGGCTGGGGGCAACCGGACCGAGTGGGGGGAGCCGAAATCGAGAGGGGCTACCGGACCGGGTCTAGAAGCCGCCAAACCGGGACCGGACTGGGCTGGGGGCGGCCGGACCGGGACTGCGGGGGTTGCGCTAGACCGGAGCGGCGATCGGGTCGGGGTTCCCCACGCTCCGGTCCTGCCGGTGTCCGGCGGTGCCCCCCCCGTCCCGGGGGTCAGTGGGGATCCTGTGGGTTTTGGGGACCCCTGGGGACCGGAGGGACATAGAGGGACCAGACAGGGATGGAACGGGACCGGAGAGCCCCGCTGGGGATGCTGGAGAGCCCGGACGGGCTGTGGGACAACACCGCGGTAGCGCCCTTGTGTCCCCCTGTCTGTCCCCCTGTCTGTATTCCCTATCGGTCCCCTGTCTGTCCCCACGGCTGTCCCCCTGTCTGTCCCCACGGCTGTCCCCCTGTCTTTATTCCCTATCTGTCTGTATTTCCTCTCTGTTCCCTGTCTGTCCCCCCCGTCTGTCTGCCTGTCTGTCCTCTTTCCGTCTCCTGTCTGTCCCCTTGCTGTCCCCTGTATGTTCCCCTTTCCGTCCCTCTGTCTGTCCCTCTGTCCGTCCCCTGTCTGTATTCCCTGTCTGTCCATCTGTCTGTATTTCCTCTCTGTCCCCCCCCGGTCTGTCCCCCCCCCGGTCTGTCCCCACCTTCGCCGTTCGTGCCCCCCCGGCTGTGCGGTGTCCGGGGCTGAGCCCGGGGTTTGTTTGCTCACGGAATTGGCAGCGGCTGCGGCCCGGGGGGGTCACCGGGGGGTCCCCGCCTGGAGCCGGCGCTGACGTCCGTCCCTGGCCGCTGGCTGGTGGCCCCTGTGTCCCCAGGGATGCTGTGTCCCCCCTGCAGCCCGGTGACGGTGCGGGGCTTTGGGGGGACACAGGCGCCCCGTGTGCGTCACCGGGTGTTTGGGGGTGTCCGGGGGGGTATAAAACCGAGCCTGGCACATCCCGGAGCATCCAGGGGATGGAGAACATGGAGAACGCTCGGCTGTGCCTGCTCTGCCTGCTGGGCTCCGGCCTCATCCTGCTCGGCACCCCCGAACCGGTACCGGAGCTTGGGCCTGCGCTGAGCCCGCCCGGGCACGGCCGGGAGGACACGGAGCTGGTGAGGGGCTGGGGGAGAGGGGCAGGGGGTCCCCAGCACCCCCCAATGAGGGTTTGGGGCGTTTCGGGGCGTTCCTGCTCCCCCCAGCCCGGTTTGGGGGGACCGGGGGGAATTGGGGAGGGGGCGGCCGAGACCCCGCGCCGGTTTTGTGCCTCGGGAGGTTCCTGGCACCGGGGACATCCCGCAGCACGCGGGGATCGCTGCTCTGGGGAGTTTTGGTTGTTTTTTCCTTCCCCAGCCCATCCTGAGCTCCGGCTCAGCTGCGGGGAGGGGAGTGGGGACCGGAGGGGGGGACGTGGGGCCGCACCCCAAGGACAGACCCTGAACTCCCCCCGGTCCTGCCCCAGCCCCGATTCCCGGCCGGGATGAGCCAGGCACGGGCTAGGGAGGGGACAGGAGCCGGGGGGACTCGGGGTGACACAGATCCAGAGCCCCTGGGTGTCCCGGCAATTGGGGGTGACACGGATCCGGAGCCCCTGGGCGTCCCGGGATTTCGGGGTGCCCTTCTGGAGTCCCTGGGTGTCCCGGGATTTCGGGGTGCCCCGCTGCTGTCTGTGGCAGGCGGAGGCGCTCCGGGAGGTGCTGGACGAGCTGGGGACGCGGGAGCCGCCGGCGCTGGAGAAGAGGCTGAGCTGGGTGCCCTGGGTACGGCGGGGCTGGGGGGCGGCCCTGGGGGACCCCAAACCCCTCTTTGGTGGGGGGTCCAGCGCCGGGGCTGACGGTGCCGCTCCGCAGTGCGAGCCCCGGGAGCCGTGCGCGGTGCGGCGCGGGGCGCGCATCGGGAAGCTCTGCAGCTGCCCCCGCGGCACCTCCTGCAACCTCTTCATCCTCAAGTGCTCCTGAGGGAGCGGGGACACCGGGGGACAGCGGGGGACACCAGCTGCCACGAGCCCGCGGCCCGGGAGGGGCAACCGCGGGCTCCAGCACCGGGATGGACCCGCACGGCACCGCCCGTGCCCCGGCCCGTGGGGCTGGCGGTGTCCAGGGACACATTAAACCATTGGATCCACGCCTGCCGTCTGCTTTTTTGGGGGATTTTGAGGTTCCCAGCCCCCTCTGCCGCGGGGCAGGGTCCTGAGAGGGGTGGAGGTCCCATCCTGCCCCCCTTCCCTGTCGGGAATTTGAGGTTGGGGCGGGAATGAGGGACAGGGAGTGGGAATCTCATCCCGCTGCGGGAGAGGGGAAGCGGGAATGGGAGCGCTGCGGGGACGGGCAGGGAGCTGCGTCCTGGATCTGAGTCCTGGATTCCCGAGCTGATGAGACGGATGGATGGAAGAGCGGGGGGCTCATACGGCCCGGCCCGGCCGCATCCCGAATCCCGCATCCAGATTCCAAATCCGCACCCAGAATCTCGGATCCCCACCCAAAATCCAGCATCCTCATCTAGAATCTTGGCTCCCCATCCAGAATCCCGCATTCCCCATCCACGATCCCGAATCTCCATCCACGACCCCGCATCCACGATCCCGCACCACCCGCGCGGGCCCCACCCGCTGCCCCACCCCGCGCGTTGCCCCTTTAAGACTCTCTCTCCCACCTCCGCTCCGCCCACCCGCCTCCCCTTCGGCGCCTCCCATTGGCTGAAAGTGACATCAGTGGGTGTGGTCTGGGCGGTGGTGACGCAGGGGGCGTGGCTAGCGGGGCGGGCGGGGGGCGCCGAAGATGGCGGCGGCTCCGGTGGCTCCGGCGGCTCCCGCGGCTCCGGCCTCGGGGCCGCGCCGCTTCTCGCTGCTCGCCATCGTGGGCGGCGGCTGCCACCGGCCCGGCCTCAGGGCCGCCGCCCTGCAGCAGCTGGAGCGAGGTGAGACCGCGTGATGCTCCGCGGGATCCTCCCGGACCCGCCCGCCTGCACCGGAGGAGCCCCCCCGGGGATGCCGCGCTCGGTCCCGCTCGGTCCCGGGGTGTGATCGCCCCTATCGGGATGCCCCGTCCCGCCCCAGCCCGCCGGGATCCGCCCCTGCGGCTTCCCAGGGTTTGCGCCCCGAAATTCCGAAATTCCCAGGATTTGCCCCATTTCCTGCCCCCCCCGCCCCATCCCCGGGATCTGCGCCCTCTTTGACCCCTCAGCCCCCGCGATTATCCCTCTAAAATCCCAGATCTGCCCCTTTTTCCTGCCCCAAAACCTTCGGGGATCTGAATCCTCCTCCAGCTCTTTCTTCTCTCAAGATCTCCAGGATTTGCTCCTCCTGGATTTGCCCCCCCCGCCCCAGCATCTTCCCCTTTCCCTGCAGCCCTAAATCCCCGGGATTTGCCCCTAAATCCCCAGGATTGACCCCATATTTTGTAGGGACCCCCTCCAGCCCCCACACCCATCCCTGAGCCCTGCCCGGATTTTGTGGGGGGGGTCTCAGGCCGTGACATCCCAGCGGGAGCAGATCCCAAACCCACGACGGGAGGGACATTCCCCACTCCATTGTCCCCTCCCTGTCCCAAACCTCACCAAAACCACCCCAAAAAACGGCCCCAAACCCTTGTGCAACCCCGGGCCGGTTACACCATCCCCCACCCATTCTCTGGCCGTTACCGGCAGCACCCAGAGCCACCCAAAATTTTTGGGAATAATCTCCCAAAATCCCTTCTGGGAAGCCCTGAAGGGTTTTTCGGGTGCTGCACCTGTCCCGGTGCTGACAGGTAGCACCAAATCTTTTAATTCCTTAATTGGCACCTCTGAGGAGGCGTTGGCAGAGCTGCTCCGTGCCCTGGGGGGTTGGGATTTGGGATTTAGGATTTGGCAGAGCCGGAGCTGTTGTGACTCACAGCACAAGGAGCTCACCTGCCGGGCAGGTGCTGGCACAGGTGGGCTTGGAGGCACCCCAAAAACACCTTAGGGGGGGATTTGAGGAGGAGATTTTATGGGAGATTTTGTGGGGTCAGCCCCACCTGGCAGCATGTGGGGTTTTGGGGGTGGTGCTGGTGGGTTCTGAGCCCCCAAATCCCCAATTTTTCTTCGGTTTTTCCTCCTCAGGGATCCGCTCGTGGGACATCGACCTCACCTGCTGCAACCTGGACGAGCAGCTGAAGCTCTTCGTGTCCCGGCACTCGGCCACATTCTCCAGCATTGTCAAAGGTAAAAAATGGGATAAAAACCGGGAAAAAGGGGGTAAAAGCCTCCAGGGAGGGGTGGGAATGGGGGTTGGGATCAGGGACACCCCCTCCCCCCAGATTTTGTGGGAACAGGGCTGGCTTTGTGCCTCCCCCATCCAAACCCCGTGATCCCCACGTGAGGAGCCGCTTCCTTTTCCAGCGTGGAAAAATGGGATTTTCCACAGGGGGATGGAAAAGGGAAAACAGAGCTGGGGCTGCTCCAGTGCCTTTTTTCCCCCCGCACCCCACCCTCAGCTGGGTCCTGGTGGGTGTTTCCTTGCTGAGAGGGGAAAATGAACCCCAAAACCCCCCTTGGGAGAGCCCAGAGAGTTTGGGGGAGTCTCCCCATCCTGTTCCCTCCCCTCCCTGGGCAGGAAGGACACGGGAAATGTGTCCCTGGCCCTTGTGGTGTCCATATCTGTCCCTCTTCCGCCGGAAAACCAGGCAGTGCCTGCCTGTGCCACCCCCATGGGGACAAACTGGGGGGGCATGGCTGTCACCCCACAGGTCAGAGGACCCTCCACCACCGCGGGGACGTGCTGGAGACCCTGGTGCTGCTCAACCCTTCTGACAAATCCCTGTGTGACGAGGTGAGCCGGGGCGGGACGGGCCCCGGGGCTGTCCCCATGGTGTCCCCACGGTGTCCCCACAGTGTCCCCAATGTCCCCCTCTCTGTCTCCAGCTGCGGAACCTCATCACAGATGTGTCCCAGCACAAGCTGCTGGTGTTTGCTGGGCCCTGTGTGGAGGACACTGGGGAGCTGATGCTGCAGACCGGCTGCTTCTCCCTGCGGGATTTCATCCAGATCTTCACTGATAAGGAGGTGAGGGAAGGGGACAGGGGGATTTTGGGGCCAGAGCTGCTGTCTGAGCACATCCAGCCTGGAGCAGCTCCTGGGAATGCTGACACGTCCTCCCCCCTCCTCACATGGGGGGGTCCCTGCAAGGTGTGGGGCAAAGCTTTGGGGTCTGCAGCAGAAAAAAGGGGCAAATCCTGGGGATTTAGGGGAGTTTTGTGGGGCAGATCCTGGGGATTTAGGGGAGTTTTGTGGGGCAAATCCTGGGGATTTAGGGGGTATTGATCCTGAGAATTTAGTCACGTAGTTGCTGGGGATCTGGGAATGTAAATCTTGGGGGTAGATTTGGGAGTTTGGGGAGCAAATCCTGGGGGGTGTTGGGGGGAAGATCCCGGGGGGTTGAAGAGCAGGGAAAGGGGCAGATCCTGGGAGTTCAAGGGTGCAGATCCTGGGAATTTAGGGTGCAGATCCTGGTGACTTAGGGATGCAGATTATGGTAACTTAGGGGTACAATTCCTGGTAATTTAGGGGGGCAGATCCTCAGCTGCCAGCCCTGGGGGACCACAGCCTCAGCCAGGGTGGGAGTCAGGGAAAGCCCCTCCTTGGGATCCCCCTGCCCAGCAGCAGAGGGGGCTGGCACCCCAAAATCCCCCCAAAAAGCAGGCAGCAGGTGTGGATCCAATGGTTTAATGTGTCCCACCCCCATGGGTCCATCCTGGTGGGCGATGGGGGTGACCCCGGTGCCCCCTCCCACCTGAAGCTGCCCCTCTGTGCAGGTGGGCGAGATCCTGAGCTCTGCAGACCCCTCGGCCAAGGCCAGGCTGACCATCAGCTGCCCCGACTTCGGGGAGTGGAGGGACTCGGGCTTGGAGCACCACAACCTGCAGGACTTCATAGAGCTGCGCTACAACCCCGGCTGCGTCTTGCCGGAGATGGAGGGGCTGGAGGAGTTCATGGAGTACCTGTCGGAGTCTCTGGAGCCCCAATCCCCTTTCGACCTGCTGGAGCCTCCCACCATGGTGGGATTCCTGAAGCTCTCCAAGCCCTGCTGCTACATCTTCCCGGGCGGGAGAGGGGACTCGGCTTTCTTCGCCGTCAACGGCTTCAACGTTTTGGTCAACGGCGGCTCCAACCCCAAATCCTCCTTCTGGAAGCTGGTGCGGCACCTGGACCGCATCGACTCCATCCTGGTGACCCACGCGGGCACCGACAGCCTGCCTGGCATCAACAGCCTGCTCCAGAGGAAGCTGGCCGAGCTGGAGGAGGACCCTTCCCAGAGCTCCCAGGGCAACGGCGACTGGGCCAAGAACCTCATCTCGCCCGAGCTGGGCGTCGTCTTCCTCAACGCCTCCGAGAAGCTGAAGGACATCGAAGGCGACTCAAAGGTGCTGAAGAGCTGCGACGAGGCCGCTCTGACCCTGCACTACCTGGACAAGTTGGGCATCCGGCCCAACCTGCTGGCCCGAGACAGCGGCCCCCGCGCCGAGCCCACCGTGCTCTTCCAGAAGATGGGGGTGGGCCGGTTGGACATGTACGTGCTGAACCCCGTGAAGGGCACCAAGGAGCTGGAGTTCCTCCTGCAGCACTGGTCGGGGAATGGCTTCCCCAAGGAGCAGGAGCTGCCCCTGCAGTGCCTGACCTCGGTGTGCGTGCTGCTGGTGTGGCACCCGGTCAGCCGCTCCGAGAAGATCATCCGGGTGCTGTTCCCCGGCTGCACGCCCCAGGCGCGGATCCTGGAAGGGCTGGAGAAGGTGAAGCACCTGGAGTTCCTCAAGCACCCCGTGGTCACCAAGAATGACCTGAAGGGGACGGCGCAGGCAGAGAAGCCACTGAAGCAGAAGAGGGCGGAGAGCAAGGAGAGCCTCAAGTCGGGCTCCAAGCTGAGCTTGGTGGAGGCCGTGGCGCCGGCGCCGAAGGAGAAGGTTCCAAAGGTGGAGAGGAAGGAGGTGAAAGCTGGGACCAAGGAGAA